CCCTTGGTTATCAGCAGATCAACAACAGGACGAGGACTTGCAATATTCCCAACAGCGACTGGGTAAACAGAACCGAAATCACATCCCTGCAGCTCTCAAAGTTAAGTCCAGAAATTGTAGGCGACTATATGCAATATACTAGTTCCCAATTCAAAAAAATCCAATTTAAGCACATTATTTATCATCTATCATTGAACCACAGATGGGAAAACCTCATGTCTGCTCCACTTAATTTGAATATATACCTGCAAAACTGGAAGATGAAAAGGCAAAGGTAAAACACAACCGATACGTCCATAACCGATAACTGCAGGAGATGCAGAGGCTCAGTCAAGAGCCACTTCTCTTGTGCCAGTGCCAACGGAACCTCCTGATAGCACACAAGGCTGTCCTGTTCCAAAAAAAACCTTCCAGGTCGCTGATGTTCTTTCTCTGGACCTCTGAACTCTCCAATAACAACGTCCTCATTTTCCTGAAGACGCAGCCCTTACACAGATCTTGTTTCGAAACATCAGAGATGGTATTTGTCAGGGAAAAAGGCACCATCTCTCTCTGCAGGCTTGGGAGAAATATTTGCAGCTGCCGGCACGCCTGCATTTCAAACACTCGCGAACACGAGACGTGCCAAGCGTCAGCGTGTGCTGGTTGTGCATCACTGCTTCCCCAGCTTATTTACCCATGGACGTAGCCCAAATAACAGGCCAAGCACTGAAAGCAGGCACGTTTCATTAACTGACAGTCAGCAAAGCTGCCACTAAGACAAAAGATTACATCCTAAACGGCCTGTGCAGTGCAAGAAATGAGAAATAAATGCACTTCCCAGCCACGGGGCTACAGAGAACGATGCCAAGACCAAAACCGCAGGATCTTGCACTAAAATTGCTGCATGTAATCAGTTACTTCAACACTCAACATAGGGTTTTTTTTAATTGTCTAGCCATGAAGAGTTCTACAAACTGTACAGAGCAGGATATCTAAGAGAGACTGAGCATCCCCGTGGACCCAAGCATTGGGTTTTGAAAGCGCTTTCAAAGCAAGAACCAGCAGGAGAACACGGTTTGTGGTTAAGTAGAAACTACCTCTACATTCTCTAAGCATTTTGCTGCCCGCCAGATACCACAGAACAAGGCAAGAGCTGGGCGTAGATACACGGCATCTCCCAAACGGGGCATTAAGTCATTAATGACCGCAGCCCCACGCTCAAAGCACAAAATGGGATTATCTCCGTGCAGTTCCCCAGCTCATCCCTTTCTGGCTGCCCAGCCAGAGCTGCTTCAAGCACGCGGGTTCTCGCGCGACGCATCGTGGGTGCAAACCCCAAATGTGAAATACAGAAAGGCGCATGCCCGAGAAACGCCAGCAAGACTTGCAAGGCATTCTTAACACAAGACACCCCGAGGGCTAACCCTAAGAGAAGAGCAGCTTCTACAGGAGAAGGTGGACCGATTAGCTGAGGTCAAGACAGCAGGTAAAAAGTCGAAGTTTGGTGTGGGTCATACAAAAGGAGGAAAAATAATGAAACCAGCAGTTGTCTAAATGCAGCTTTCTATTAGACATGTTAATAAACCTTCTGGAAAACAGGCTGGGCTGCAGCGATCCTGCCTTTTGGCATTTGTCCAGGTTTAGAGAGAACATGAAATATTTTCACAAGTATAATTCTTACATATGCGTGTGCGCTCCTTTTTTTTTTTTTGTCATTTGTGACAGGGGAGAAAAAAATTGCCACAAATTGAAAGAGGGTTTGAGCTACTTCTCCTGTTCTTGTTTGTCTTTCAGGTCATGTTCGACCTTCGGCTGCATTCGCACAACCCTTCAGGAGGACACAGTGAAAACCAAAGACCTGGTCAGACACACTGATATTTAGTAATCTCAGATCTAGGAAAAAAACTTGATCCTCACTGCTGTGATCCAAGGAAGTTTGTGTTTGTTTTTTTGCTGTGGTGTGTTTTTGCTTTTTTTTTGGTGGGTTGTTTTTTTAACTAAAAAAAAGAGCTTCCCCTGAATACATACAAGTTTTCAGAAACTGAATTATTACTATATTTTTAGATGGTTAGCTAAAGGCTTAGCATCTTAAAGTTGTAAATAAGAAGAGCATCAACCTTAATTTTAGTGTTTAAAATTAGTTTTCATCGCTTTGAGCATTTTAACTCAAGTTTGGTGTGGGATGTTTATCTGCAGCCATCAAGGGAATCGGTCAGCCACACCGAACACACCTGCACATCCTCCTGTGCATTATGTTTTACATTAAGCTGGTCATGGGGGTTTATTTTGAAAAGACAAAAAAAGCACCACCTCAGGTTTTGGATGGAAGTGATTGAACTGCCCAGCATCAGGATCCAAACAGTCGCAGCCAAACTGGTGTCACTGGTTTGTACAGTACTGGAAGAGTCAAAGCATGTAACTTGTTGCCACTTCACATACTTTAACTGGAGATATTGCATTGAGTAGCTATTATTTACCCCCGTCCCGCGTTGATCTTTGCAGTTTGGAAAAAAAAAACCACAACACAAAACTAATCACACTTAAAACAACTGCTGGAAACCCCCCAGAAACACGAGGTGAAGCACGTGCTCCAAGGAGACCTCCCTAGAATGCAAGGGGAACAAAGCAACTGCTAGATGCCTACAGGCATTACGAGTTCTTCTATTTTAATTGTTATAAACAATTCGAGAAAGAAATTGTTTCCTAACCCACACCATACGAGAACAAATGTTAAAATACACTCTCAGCCAGATGATAAAACGTAACGCTTTATCATCAGAAAGCTACTGGCTTTATATACCGGCTACTATATAAAAAGCTCTGCCCAACAACACGGTGACTGAAAGACAATCAAGGCAAAAAACCCACAGAACTTTGAGTCAGTCTCCAAACTTGTTTTCTTGCCATTTGTCAAGTTCATTATTTCAACACAAGATTGTTTTCTTAATTTAATATACATACTTATACAATGGCTTAAAATTAAGGCATAATCCAGCTGGCTGAAGTGTTCAGTAAAACGTCTCTGTTGCTGTTTAGTAGGAATAACTGGTTCGGATTACTGCTGGCAAGAGTAACACAGTCCAGGAAAGAGGAGATGGAAAAGCAGATCGCTTTTGTCCTATCTTCCACGGGGGTGATTTGTGAATTCAGTGTAGCGCAGGCCTTTGGACCCAGGAAGCCTTTTGCAAAACTCGCCATTTAATCAACTTATCAGACAGGGCTTGAGGCTTTAAGCAGAAGCTGGTAAAACTCTGAAGCTGTAGTGTGGTTTTTCAGAAAGCCTTTCACATTCTGAGGAACGCCATCCACTCAATGAGAAACAGATAAAAACCAGAGGTTATCATCCAAAAAAAAGCAGAGGGCAAACTTTTGGAAGACCTAGCTGAAAAGACAACGGCTGAAATTTAACAGACAGACATTAAGAGAGAGCCCTTCAGAAGCCAACTCGACACACTAACTGGAGACTCTAAATTTAAAAAGCACTGCCTCTGATCGTGCCACTACGATGATGCTTTTGTAAATGATGTTTTGGGCTCTCAAACACTCTGAAGAGTATTTCTTCCATGCAATTTGGAATCGTACTCTAGAATCCTAAAATACTTTCAATTTCCATCTTAACGTGAGTGTTTGGGGCTTTCTTGGATTCCAATTTCAGCGCAGAACAAACAATTCTGGTGGAGCTGAACGTTCTTAGATGGAATAAATAACACGGAAATCACATCACCCTTCTGTGCATACTAAAGTTGATGCATAAAAGACTCAAATCACATCATACAGGAAAATGCACAATTTGTGGAATATAAAGCAAGACCAGCTGCACCCCAAAAAGTTTTAAATTCGTAAATTTAGTCCTTTACAATGTCATGCAGCAAGAGGTGTGAACCAGATCACAGCCTCATTGCAGAATGTGATGGGCCACACTCTGGCTGCTCTTGGGACAGAGACAAAACACAACTGAGGCAGCTGATCGGTTACTGAGCAGCAAGTAGCTTGAAATCACAACTGACTCCAGCACCATCTGTGCTCGCCTGGGAATGAAAACACCAGAATTTTTTCTTCAGAATTTGAAGTCACAATCGTATATCAAACAAATAATGAGCAGAAGCTCAAACCTCCAAACATATGAACTTTTGCTGCTCTACTTTAACATAATCTCAACAAAAATACTGCCCATTAAGCTTAGTTCTACTACCTATTTTCTTGCCTATCGGCTTGTATTTAATTTCTAAAGCATTAAGCATTCCCAATATGCTTTTGCTTCCAGTGTTGTGTGACGAACACTGATTATTTCCAGAGACAGCCCGTAGAGTTCATACGAGTGCTTGGAAACCTCCCTGCAGCTCCGTTCAACCTGTCGTTTAAACTAGACTAGTAGCCAACCCAGGTACCTGGAAGTAAAAACAAAGACAAAAAAGAAAAAAAAGTTAAGAGATGCATTTAATGCACCGCAGTAGTAGAAATCCTTCCAGAGGCTGGTAATCTAACCATTCTCTGCATTTCCTGAACGTCAGTTTCTACTAAAGCATTCCCTTGTATCAGTGGCTTTGACACATAGGGCAAAGCAAAGCAAAAGGTGACAAAATGGAAAGTGCTAAAGAGCTATCACGTTTTTCTTAACTAAGCGTTGTGGCAAACTCCTTCAATGCTTTTCGGCCACAATAACCTACACGATGATGCTAAAGCAGCAGAACAGCCACACGAGCACAGAGCACTGTGTAAATAAAGACCCTTAATGCTACCTCGGTGTAATGAAAATGGGACGGTCAGAGGCATTCACTAACAAAACGATCATTGAACTCCACCCATCAGAAGCCTTGTAGAGCACCATATTTCAGAAAGGTGTTTGAAGAGTACAGCTGTACTGAAGCCGGAGGCAGCACATTCGTTGTTGGATGTGATGATCAGACTCCCAGCGAGGTTCCTTAATGAACACAAACACTACTAAACCAGTCCTAAATACATACTGGTTTTATATGGATATGTTTGTGAGGGAAAATAAGGAGTTCGTAGCACGTCGTTCATTCCAGCTGGTTTTGCTCTGCGTTTAGGCATTCGCTTTCAAGGTTGTCCTTATTCTGACCAGTTGGTTCCTCACTCTGTGCAACAGAAATCTCTGGCTGGTCTGTCTTTGTGTCGGTATCAGTGAGCTCCTCTGCAGCTGAGGAGGGGTCATGCAGCTCCTTCATGTGGAGGGTAGGGTTGGTCATTTGCTCCATGTCTTCTTGAGAGGCTGGTCCATTGCTGTCTTTGGGAAGATCAGGGCAGTTGACCGGAGCTATCACCAAGGGAGGCTGAGGTAGGTCTTTCTGTAAAGAGAAGATCACGGTCAGAATGCTGGGAAAACAAGAATTACTGTGTCCAGTTAGCACAGAATGGGTTGGGTTGGGAGGGACCTTAAAGATGATCTAGTTCCAACCCCTTGCCATGGGCAGGGACACCTCTCTCCCACCAGACCAGGTTGCTCCGAGCCCCGTCCAGCCTGGCCTTGGGCACTCCCAGGGATGGGGCATCCACAGCTGCCCTGGACAACCCCTGCCAGTGTGTCACCACCCTCGGAGTAAAGAACTTCTTCCTGACACCTCATCTCAGTCTCCCCTGCTCTGGGTTAAAACCACTGCCCCTGGTCCTGTGGCTGCTCACCCTTGTGAACAGCCCCTCCCCAGCTTTCCCGGAGCCCCTTCAGGCACTGGGAGGTCGCTGTAAGGTGCCCCTGGAGCCTTCTCTCCTCCAGGCTGAACAGCCCCAGCTCCCTCAGCC